AGCTCAGCCTCCACGCTTCCCTCCTGCCCTCAACAGCATTTGCCTCAGTTGTGGTCTCGCTCCCGGTATACCCAGTAGTGCCCATTGCTTTATTTCACTCATGTCTCTGCAGATTCTTTGCAGAATCAACGGATTCTTTGTGACTTCTCCACTCCCCAGGCTATCCTGTGCTCAGGCTCAAAGCTAAAGCCTTATCCTGGTAAGGCCGTCCCTCAGCTTGACTCCTCCTGAGCCTGGGTGGACACTGTGCTGGGCTATGGCCCCTATGGTAACCACAAACACTGGGTGAGTTGGGATTATGCTACACCACAGCGAAGTTTCTTCCACCCTGACCTAGGCACTCAAGCTGGAGCCAGGAGAGAGCAGGTGTGCTGACTAAACACAGCAACACCCTTTCTTCCAGTACAGGAGTGGACACATGCTAAGCATAAAAATTAATGAAGTATCAGGAAAAGAGAGCCATTTTCTGGAATATTCATGCATAGCAGTAGGGTTTTTTTAAAAAAAACCTACTTGATTTAATTTTAACATTGTATTTAAGATGATCTTTTTCTACTTGAACTTTTAATATTTTTCTTTCCATATCGTCTCTGTCAGCAAAACCAAGTTGCTGTATGCATCCTTTGCTTATATGGCCCATAGCAGAACATACGTAATTTTTTTAAGGACTACTGAGAAAAGAGAACTTAAAATTCGTACTGCAGACAAATTAGCTGTTCCTAAAATGTTTACTTCTGCTCTGTAAACAACCTTCTTAGAATAGGAAGGAAGATTTTAGAAGACCAGTTCAACATACCAAGAAGCTATTAGCCATCGGTTTCTGCAGTATGTGGAAATTAGTGTTACTGGTGGTACACACAAGAAGGAAAACTCAGTGATACCAGCTAAAATAAGTTCCACAGGAGATGTTTGATGTTTATTAAAGTTACAAATGCACAGAAATGATGTAGTTAGCTCCTCACAGTGGTATGATCCGAGACATCTATGCTATAGAGCCAGTGATGAATGAAACGGTAATCAATGCTATAATTTTGAAATTTTTTCCTACTCCTTTTTCCTGCTCTAAGCCAGATCAGCCACAAGACCAAATACAAACGAAGAATCTGCATTTTTCTCAAGTGAGAAGCCTGACCATCAGAAAACAACCCTCTCCTCTCACTATTAACATTCATGACTACAAAGGCTAAAAAAAAAGTCTAAATAAAGCATCTATGTGCTGCTGCTGCTGGCTGACATGTTTGCATTAGCTGTCATTACTAAACATTTTTCTGGAGAACTACTGCAGCCTTTCCCAGATTTTTAAGGTCTGCCTTTTCACTTCAGATAAAAACATGATGCTTGTCCCTAAGCAGGAGAAAGTAACTATGAATACTATAAAATTTAAAATTTATTTGAGAATAAAAGTCTATGGAACAGGTTTCAAAAGAGGACATGTTTAAAAAAATTTCCAAGTTCTCACTTATTTCTATTTGTTTTATTTCACTTAATGGCAAATCAAATCACTTTTCTCACAAATCAAGTGTTTAATGTTTTAGATCAAGTAATTCGAGTAATCAAGTAATTTAAGTCTTCATTTTAGTAAGCTGCATGGACCATAGCAACTTTCGAGTCAAAGTTATTCACAGAGTAAAAAAAGTTCCAAGATGCAAATTTCTTCATCAAAGTGAATTTTAAATCAACTATCACAGATAAATTATCTACGTAAGCCTGAACAACCAAAATAATTTAATATTCCTTTACTCTCACAAGGTAAGTCACTAGACTCCTAGATCAGAAGATTACCTATACCAGCTACGACTGCTAATTGTTGGTGTCAAAAGTAGCAAACATAATATTGTTCTACTTGGTAAAAATAAACCCTTTCAATGTGTGTGCTCCTAGGGGTAGGTCAAGCAACAGTTTATGTCGTATTCTTTTCATAGAGAGTTCTACAAATATTTGATACAACAGTATTTTCTACCAAGGCAGGCTTCTTCCCTTAAGGAAAGACCATATTTATTTTCTAAATGTGGGGTGTTAAAGTGTGTTTATTTTCTAAAACTTACATTTCAATGACAGAAAACACTTTCTCCTCTCCTTAATTGAATCATGCAGCCATGACTGAAAGGAAAGGGCATTGTACCGGTTATTAAATTCTTACGGTTTCTCAACAAAATGCTTGTAATAACATGGGAAAACTTACAGCAATATACTTAAAAGAGCTTGAACAATCATGAGTGCTTAATAGCACACCAGCTCCACTCAGCTAAAATTAATGTAAGTGCTGAGCATGCATCTTCTCTTCACTCGTACATGCGCCATGTCCATAGGATGATGTGTATGGCCAGCCCAGACTGCAGGAGCCGAAGAGGGATTTCCTGGCAGCCACTAGTGCTGCGTGCCTGTGGCCAAACCACACTCCACACAAAGGTGGAAGGCTCTGGTAGGACGGCACAAGTTAGGAAATACAGCGTTATTTTCCCACAGAGCTTGAGCTAATACGCAATGTCTGCATGGCCATCACAGAGCCAAAAGCACCACCTGGTCCTGCCCCTGGTCAGGACCTCGCTGGACTATACAAGTCAGCCAAATGTTCATACCCCACTCCACGTATCCAAGTTATACACGTTCTGGCAATGCCAAAGATATTCCAGCATCTTGTAGATCCCTTTACTTCCTGTGCTCCTCAAGACTGTCACCAATGCCTGTGCCAAAACATGGTCTTACAAGCACTGGAAGGCCGTTACACCATACATGTTAAGTAAGACAGTATTTCTGCAGTGCAGTCTTTCAAAATTTCAATCTAGTAAGGGACTGTGCAGCGAGCAGATACAGTTCAGCATAAAAACTGGTGCATTGCTCTTCCTTTGTCATCTCAAACTTTTGAGAACCTTTCCAAAAGCAATGTTCACTAAAAAGTACCATTGTATATATTAATAAACCAGAAATTGACACTGAAAGTAAAACAAAATAGAAGGAAACCTTACCCTGCAAAGACTACTTAAAAAACATTGAACAAACCTACCATATTGCCAAAATACTAAGAATTCTTATTTATAAGTATTTACTCAAGATTCAAGATGTATTTTTCCAGTGTGATCATGAAAAATCCCACCCCAAGTTTACTATTCTAACCTCGATTTCCTTTGTCATGAATTCACTTAATCAGTCCTCATACTCAAAGCTCCACTTCTTAAGTGCTTTTGTAATAAATAATTGCACAAAAATAGAGCCCCTCCATTTATTACCTAAAACCATGGAAATCTTCTGAACATTGAAGAGCATATATGGCGTAAGTATTTCCCTAAAGCAGACAACTGATGTAGCTAGTTTAACAGCTTTGAACTGCGCTTCCTCTTCCTTTCTTTCCTCACCCTCCTCCCTACCCTAAAAGCACCTTATCTACATAAACTATGGCTTACTTTAAATGTAATCCTCTGAGTCACCTTTAGCATAAAATACGCAATATCCCAATTAAATTGTGACCACTTTGATTTTTTTCTGATATTAGTAGGAAGACAATGCAGCTGCTTTGGTTACTAAAGCCTTTGAATGTTATTTAAAAGCAACTTTCAGGGCTTTACTAATCAGCATGACAACATAAAGTGAAGTCTTAATGATACTGCATTTTATTGGGGTGAACGAGTGTTCAAAAATAGAAGCACACTAGTGTTGTTCTTCCCCTCACTTTTCCAACCAGCTCACTCATAGAAAACAGACCCTTGTTGTTAGTGGGCTCTCCAGGTGACATGTTTTAAGACAGACACTCTGACTTTTTCTTTTGAGTGCAAAAGATGTTCTTAAGTGATAAGACAGACTCCCAGGCCTCTTTCTTTTCTATAAAGAAGGAAAAATCTGCCAGACTGCTTCTGGCATAACCCCATTCGTTTTTCCTGCAATGGCCATTGACAGAGAATGAAAGCACCCTCTGGGACATGGCAGATTCAGTTTCCTTTGGCAGCGGTCTTGATTGGAAGCAAACCTGAATTATTTAACTTCAAAGCAACAAATAAGGAATACTTTTCTGGAATGTCAAAAACATGCACATTAACCAAAACCAACGTTCACAAGAATCCTAAAGCATAAAATTGCTTAGCCAAAAAAACCCAACAAACCACAAAACCAACCCCCAACTCATTGAAGTGTAGAAATTGGTCAACAGTACCTTAAGATCCAGTGGGTGGGGTGGGAGGGATGGCACAGGGGAAGGGTATCACATAGCATTCAGTAATGCCACCTGACAAACTTAAAATAGATATTCCTAAAGGGAAAAAAAGTATACGACCATCATGGCTATCTTAAAATCTAGTCTGCTTCTGTTCTTGTTCCACAAAACTTCATTACAACCATTGTTACTTTTCTATCATTTATTTCAGTTAGGTGAGATACTTCACATTGCTGTATTCACCTCTGTGTAGGGCTGCCCTCCGCAGTCCTACCATTTGAACTAGCATTAATTACTAGTGTGGCTTTTCTGGGGCAAAAATCCATGATGTTTTTCCAAATATACAAACACTAGTTTAACAAAAGCTTTTTGACAGTTTATTAACATTATTAGGTTTGAGAAACAAAATTAAGTTTTATTCAAAAATGTAAAGATTAAGATAATTTAAAAATGTTAGTGCTCAGCAACAGTAAGAAGAAACAGTCCTTTTTCTGCCCTTTTTCTTCCATATATTTATTTATAAATAATGCATTGAAAAAAATGCCTTTGTCTTTTGAGTCACCTGTGAAAGTTCTTATAATATTCTTGTATCATTATAATTAAAAGATGGAGAGAGCCTCCTATTTCAAGTTTTTACGCATTAACATACCACATATTCCACTCAAAATGTAATCTGTGAATGGTACAAATCCTGTTTGGAAGTATCTCATCATTATTATGATGAAATATCACAGACAGTAATTCCCAAAACTTTTAAGGAGGTGGAAGTGGAAAAACCCACCACATAGAAGTTTTGCACAAAATGCATGCATGTATATAAATACCCAAAGTTGCTTTAGGAACAAGCAGCAAGATATAGCAAGGACAAATGCAAAGTTTATTCCACATATGCTACAATTAATCAACATGTTAGGGAAGTATCAAAATTTGTACTATTAACATATGGCAACAGTTTTATTGTTACAATACATTGCAATCGATTAGCCCACTGGAAAAGGCTTTTAAGCTGCAGACAGTGCAATTGCATTAAATCTTAATTCTTCTGGGTCACGTTCCATGAATTTCTTGCAAACTTCTATTGCATCCTAGGGAAAAAAGTAAAAAGCAAAACAAAACAAACACACACAAAACAAAAGAACACTATAAATCATACTTATTAAAAAAAACCACAACTGAAATATGAAGATATGCTTTATACAAAATATACTCAAAATGGATTTTTCCATAAAGGATTGCTAAATAGTGTGACAAATCTACATAAACTGTATTTCTGATCTGAGTTGCCACTATTCAAGATTATTTACAGTGCTCATATGGGCAGCATAAGAGAGCAAAAGTTTTATGCAGAACGTTAGCAACAATGATTTTTGTGACTGAATATTACTTTGTGCAACAGATGTGTTGCTTGTCTGACTTTCTAAACGCATCTCTGAAGTTTGCCTTTACTAGTACTGCTATATGCAGAAATTTTTCCTTTGTCTCAAGATGAATCTAAGCTGTGTGGGGTAAGTGAAAGATTTTAAGTAATTCCTTCATCTAGCTTTAGGGTGCAGTCTGGAGAACACATGTTATCAGTAAAACAGAAAAAAGCCACATATGAAAAAAGGAAAGCTTTATCCAACTCCTCCCCCTGCCCAAACAAGGGCAAATTGTATGCAAACTTTACAGACATTAGTCTATGCTTCTAAACTATAAAAGGTTTGTTTTTTAGTTTCTCCATGTTTTTCCTTTTGTAAAGCTAATCCAGTCTGGATACCATAAAAGTCAGATCTATGCACTGCCTTCTCTCAGCTTCGACTTCACATCATTCTGTGGGGATGACAGTTTATCCCAATTCAGTGTATTCCTTTCCAATTTATTTCTCAACAGCTCCTGACACAAAGAAGCACCCAAAAGAAGCCACGGAACTGGAGAAGAATGATTATTAGCATCAGAGAGGAAATCAACTTCTGCCTAGCATGGCACCTATCAAATTATAACTAAACCAAAGGAAAGAGAATGAAAAATTATCCTAAGTTTTCAACCTGATGACTTCATCTCACGTACAATTTGAAAGGAGCAGGGGTATGTGAAAATCTCAGCACAGAAGAAGTCAGCCTGATCTTCTGTTACGGTCAACCCTTCTGACATTTCTTGTTATCGTGTTATGATCTCTGTCATCCAGAGTCACAACATGAGCGTTCTGAAACACCAGTTTTAAAACTGAGTAAACCTAATTTTGTCTTACCATCCCACTCACTCTATTCTTCATCCAACCATAAATAAAGCAAGACTTTTGTATAAATATTTTTACAAATATTTTTTATAAATTTTGTGAAAATACAGCAAGAATTTTGTATAACACCATTTAAGAAGGTTTTTCTATTCCTACCTCTAAAAAAGAATCATCACTAGTTTCCCCATGGTTTATTGGAAATGGCTTGCGCCCATCTGTTGAAACACAAAGCAGGATTGAACAACACATTTGTAAAATTAGAAAAGCTTCATTTTTCCAGTTTAAACTATTTGAACAGATTTTTTGCTCTTCTTACAAAAAATGCTACCTCATTTTTCATAAAAGAATCACACATGTAGCTAGCTATTCCCTGGTTTCTCCTCCACTGCTGACTGCTTCAACAGGTGGGATTATTATGTCTGTTACAGTCTTACTTTTAAAAAAATCCCAATCAAAACAATGAAATACTTTTTGATATTGTATTTGAAAACTTTAAGGCTATAAGTTGCGATTGTTTTAGCGCTGGTATAGTACTTCAGTTTTTCAAGTAGAGAAGAACAATTTCAACTATGCTTAATGGATTTACCCAGACAGACAGCTGTACATCTGTGGTCTTTGACAGCTGTGATCAGGGACTCTATGACAGAACAGAATACCAAAGCCACCAGTTCGAAGAGTCTGGGATAACTGAAATCCTATTCTCATTTAAGATAAATAAGCAAACAAACCCAATAGCTTTAAGTATTAAGTACTTTCACAGCATTTAAAAATGGTTGCTATAGTTAATTATTTTTTCTCCCGTTTGCAACATAATAATGATATCATTCTCAGCATTTTAAAAATTATTTCCTTCATAGAAATACGTTTCAGGTTACTTGTGAAGAGCCAACAGTATGAGAACATATGTCAGGATATCCTAAGTATTTGCTACACCAAATTCCCTTTCGATTCTGTCCTCCCTTTTAAAGACTTTTCCCCTCCCCAAAGATTCCATTGACATTGACAATACTTCCAAACTATATTTTCCATAACTAAAAATAGATTCTATGTAAGAAAACTTTTGGATTTACACGAACAAAAGGTTGTTCATTATTGTAACAATGATTGACAATACAACAATGCAAAACCCTCAGAACGTGCCAGAGAAACAGAACTGAATGCCCTGTACTGTTGCAAGCTAAGTTAGATTTTTTTTTTTTTTAAAACATACATCTTGGCAGAACAGCATTTTAATTTCATGTGCCTATAAATAACGTGTTTTCGATGGCAAAAACATCGTAAGCATTTAACATCCATGTGCTTCCTTAGCATTTTCTGCCTGCCAAAGCCCACATGCTGGCCACAGTGACTGAAAGCAGTGAATCAATTGAAAAACCTTGTCTCATTTTCCTGCTTTTAAGTATTTTTTGCGTTCTTCCACTGGTACAGAGAGAAGTTATTTTAAGAACAAAGGAAATAGTAATATTGGCATTCCACTATACAGTGGAGCTAAATGCTTTTTTTTTTTTTTAAATTTAAGCAAAAGATTCCAGTGGGATTTATCTTGCATCATACTTACGGAAAATCGCTAAAATGGTAATCATAGTCTGCAGTGTGCTTTTTTAAGCAGAGTAAATTAATGCACAATGAAAAGGTAACATGGAAATAGTAGCACACAACTAAAAGAAGTGCGAGCCATCCATCATGCCTTGAAATTCAGTCATAAAATATTTATATTGCATCCTAAAGTAGTTGCCTCACTATTTGACCTAGTTCAGTGATAGACACAAAGCATCATAAAAATACAGAAATGTGTGCCTATTGTTCATGACTTACCACTGATAATTATTAAGGTGACCTAAGGGGTATTAACATAAGCACTTCTTATATACTGCTTATGCCCCAGGTTATGATTAGTTGTCACCTGTTAAAGGCATTGCTTAATTATATGTTGATTTTCAAAAGATAAAAATGTTCTCACCATAAAATACTGCAAAAATTATGTCAGGCAAGACCAGTGACTTGCAGTTTTTAAATCCTGATCTACTTGCTATTTTTCAGAAGCAACTGCAGCAAAACCTAGTTGCCCAGCAACGTTTAAGATCACAGTCATTACAGAATATCTGAGCAGAACTTGGTGCTACACAATCTGAAGAGGGAAAAAATAGCTGTAATTCAGACAAGAGAGACCACTGGTTTACAGTTAACTATCTAGTGACCACAAAAAGGTAGAAGAAAAAATAACCAGCTTGTAACAAATAAATTGCAGAATATTAGTATCTGCTAGTATCCTGACTACATCATTTCAGTTTAAACTGTATCACACTATTTAATAACGTAGCTGACACTTCTAAAGCGGCATACAGTTCATGTATTAATTCCACAAACAATTCAGGGTCATAAGTGTTAACAGTACTTTCCTCTCTGAAACTTTTGAGTGTTCATCAATTCTTTCTTGCTTCCTGACCTTCTAAATCATAAAGGAAGTTCAGAGGCAGTCTAGTATTCTGTATCATTTTATCTTAGGAGGGGGTTGAGGGAAGGAGAATCAAAAAAAACAATGGGAAGGCAGCTGCAATTGTTTGACAGAACCCCCAGACCCTATGATGCAGTTGAAAACAACCTAAGCCCTTCGTTACATCAAGTAATCTCTCTCAAATGTTGATAGTTAACAACATTACTACTTGTATTTGTTTCAAACAAACGGAGACAGCGGATAAAAAGTGTTCTTACCCAGTTCATAGAGATGACCACCTACATTAACTAATGCAATAAAGTGAAGATCTACTTTTTCATCTATACTTGGTGCCTGCAAGACAAAACAAAACAAAAAGAAATTGTGTTCACTAAAACTCTTATCACAATAAGATTAATGAGAAGCATCTGGAAGTATTTCCAATCATAGCTCTAGATAAAAGCTTTATTTTTCATTGCTGAATTAGAATTAGTATCAGCTCAAATACATTAACATTAAAACCAGATATTCATATAAATAACAACTCCTTCACTAAACCATCGCCCATAACAAAGTGATGCAGGGCTGAACTCTGCAGTATTTTAAAACCAAAAATATTCACTTGGTCAAAGTAATTTTTTCCTTGTAAGTCACATATAGTACAGTTAACATGTTCCCTCTTCACAGGCAGTTGAAAGGAACAGTTCACACATCTTAGGTGGGAAGGCAAATAACCAGAGGTTCCCAGACTGAAATTTCAAAATGGCATCATACCAAGAAAGGACTGAAGCGCAGTGACAGCATCAAGTGACATGACATAAAAAAATGGTTACAGTTGGTAAAGATCTGTCTAGCCCAGTACCGTGTTGCCAACTACAGCAAGCAAAAGCTTCTTCAGAAGAAAACAGGGCATGCACAGCATGGTAGTCTGCCAGCACACATTCCCAGCATCCACTAAGCAGTGGTTTTTGAACTTCGGAGCCAAAAGGTACATCACCACTGTTGTGTTCAATAGCAAGTGATGGTCTTATTTCCTCATCAATCTGTCCAGTCAACATCAGAGTCTCGATCCACAATTTAAGAAGATACTGTTTGAGGGAATGGGAAAAATCACCGCAGTTTTTCCTTAAATTATCAAGAGTCTGACTTCTGTGAAAATATATTTTATGCAATTTTCTTCTATCTTGTATTTACTGTTAGCCTGATGTGAATTTCTTGAAGCACCCCCCCAAAAAAAAGAATTTGGCAGAAACAGATTAGAGTGTAAAATGAGTTGTAGAACCTTACAGTTGCATCATGTTTTCAAGACCAGGTTAAAAGTTTCCTTCTTCCTAATGGTCGTAAGACAAGACTTTAGAAGATGATCTAAATTGAAGAAATGTAGCAAACAACCAGAACAATAAAGCAAAGGACAAGATGTCACCGTAAGTCCTTCAGTACATCAAGAACACCAAAGAACTCAGAGTTAAAGAGGAACTGCCAACAGCTTACAGAAATTCTATGTAACAAGCTCAAGAATGAGAGAAAAACCAAACAAAAAGCCTCATAACCTCCCTTCGCCCTCATTTGAGATCCATCTCAATGAACAGTTAAAGTGTGAAAGGCATAAATACCATGTTACATTTCTCTTTCAGAGGGCCTAAAATGGAGAAAGATCATTCCTTCTGCTGAAGATGAGGTGGCTATCAAAGGGACAAGAGGACCTTCCCATCAGAACTCCAAGGAGTCTTTTCCCCTATGGCATAAGTGAATTGCCTTTGAGAATTTTGTTTTACAGAAGGCCACAGAGAGCCAGGGCTTAGAAAAACAAGCAGCCTCAAGAGTTTGGTTACCCCAGTTGTAAACTTCCAAGGACTACAGTTTTCCATAACTTCCTGAAAACCACACACGACAGTAGCTCACAACCAATGGCACCTTGTTGATATTTTCATCTTTCAACCAACTTTGTACAGGTATCTTAACTGTGGTGCTACAAAAGTATGCAGGCAGGCAAAGCTAAGAGTCCTTGCCAAATGCCACATTGCCACCTAATTCCCTTTGTAGCCATATGATTTCATGGCTGTTCACTTATCAATTAAACCTATCAACTGGAAAATCTAGGCTTAAGAAATTTCAGGGTTAGGGGAAAGACCACTGCCAGTTAGTCTCACTTTAGGAAGGAAATGGCTTAGCATTTAAAAGTTTGCATCTGAACATACACTACCTGGGCTCAAATTGACATTAACTAGAAGAGCTCAAAGTGTCACTATTTCAGAGGACATTGAAATGTTCAGGATTTGGTTTTGATCGCATTTAGAACAACATACAGTTGCCACTTCGACCATTTTGAGGGTTGTATTCTTTGCCAGCTTCTTCTTTTCTACAGAGACACACACTCTGCATGTTTGGAATGCTGAGCCTATGTACAGCTAGAAGAGGGATAGGGAAGCCACCAAAAAAAGCATGATTAACTGTTCATAGTTTACTTGGAGATGGACTCTTATAGAATCCTGCTGAGTTTTTGTACATGCCTAATCTAAATAATGTGCCTTCATTGTGCTATTGCCACAACCCGCGAGAAATGTTGTGTTTACATTTTTAATTCACCAACCTCAGAGACAGAACGAAAGTGCCATGCCGTTATTAAAGTTTCTACATGTTCTAATGCAGACAGTCTCCTTCTCTTGTAACTTCTTTTCATCTAATGTAGATAGTAGGAAATTTACTACAAAGTAGATCTACTACATTTCTCGAAAAAGTAGGATTTCAATCATTTTTGACAGACAATTATTTGCATAATCATAAGCACAGAGAAACAATAGGGTCTAAGTAGTCAAGATGACCTAAAACTTCATATTATAAAAATCTGTTGCTTGTGACTGAGGAAAAGGAGTAACTAGAATAAACTTTCCCAATGTGATGAATCTGATTCAAAAATCCCCCACCTCTCCTTAGGGAAAAAGACATCCATGGCATATGTGTGCACGCACATGCACACACAGACACACACACAAAAAGAAGCCCAGACAGGCCAATTTCTACTTCATTGGAAAGCTCTAGAGATTCCAAGACTTGAACTAGAACATTTTAAATTTCAAAGGAATGGAAAGAAGAGGGAATGTCAGCTTCAGGGAGGTGTCTTTTGTGGTCTCCTTGAAAAGCTACACCTTTGGCCAAGTTTTCAGCTTCCAATAAACAGTCTATGTGAATGCTTAAAAGAACAAGAGAACATAGCTTTAAGAAGACTGCCTGCATGTTCATCACTAGGTAGTACTTTCAGAACAATTAAAGAGGATTTTCTCTTGATTACTATTCTTGTCAAAGACGACAGTAACATGAACATCAGTCAAGTGTTGGGATGACCTGTTTGTTTAGTTTTTTTCACTCAGAAGCCCACTCAATGTGCAAAAGGAGAGAGCAGATTTGAATGACAGCATGTGTGAACCTCAAGGAAGGAGAAAGACACAGCAGTCTAAATAAGATGATTGTCTAATCAGGGTTTGAAACTAACCTATGGGATTCAAGACTCATTTTTCAAGTCTTCCAAAGAGCTGTAGCACACAGTGAAGAAAATTCACATTTCTTTCCCATCCAGAAAAGACAGAAAGAGGACGAATACCAGCATCTTGGGTAGCTCACAGAAGCTTATATTATGGTTTCAGCCTTAGTGTAAGAAATAAGTTTTGGTAGTATGGGTTGGTGGACACTTTTCCAATTTATCTCTTCAAAAGAAAAAAAATCCTGAAAAATAATGACCAGTACACTTGAAACTGATTTGAAGAGAAAAAATACAAAAATTTTAGTGCTCAAAGTGATGATTCTGAGAACATCTTCTCAGCTGTAATTTGTCCTCAAGGTATTCAGATAACACTCCATGATTATAATTACACTGCATCTTCATGAATACTCGGTCTCATATACAAAAGTGACAGCCAAGGTTGTCGTGCCTTCTAATTTTGGATACCACATTAAAACCACCTAAATGGCCTAGTCCCAATTTTTCAGAAGACATGACTGCCTTCTCTGCTAACCCGGGCATTCAAATTAAATAATAAGCAATTGCTGACTGCTGTGAGAAGTCAATTTTAATTGACTTCTAATAGCCATTAGTTCATGTTATTGAAACAGCACCTCCACATTTCTTCCTCTATTCTTCACTAGCAGACTTCCAATCAGTAATTTTTAAAATAGCACTTACCAAAGTTTTTACTAAATGAACGATAGCCTTTCCTACTCCCTCTTGTACTGAGAAATTCCTTTATTTTACCTTTCACCACTGCATGCTGCCCTCTCCTCATGAACTACAACAGTCTTCCTTCTTGTTGTTGCACTAGCGTTCAGAAACTCAGTGGCACACCCCTATATTACTGCTTGCCCAATCATATCAGCTGGCCTAATAAATTATATTTCATTACCTACACAGTTTATCTTGCTAGTGCACTTAGACCATCATCCCAATCTAAAAGTCAGTATTTGATTTTCACGCATTTGAAATCTTTTGATTTCAAGTGTTGCTAACTTAAAACAAAACTGTTCATCAAATTTGATGTGCAACTGGTTTCTTTTCCCCCAAACTGCATTTCTGTGACAAACACCACACAATTCGGAAAAACAATAATTTGTCTTGCTCTCATGGACATACTGAACAAGTCCTAACCACATCCTGCTTAAAATTTATTTATGAAAGACCACATTATAAAAAACAAGTTCAATGTTACATGACACATTTCAGGCAACCTCTTCCAGTATTCTTCCAATACTAAATCTTGTATTTTTATTATTTCCTTAAAATTGACTTGAGACAAACAAGCGAAGCAAGAAGTCTCACAAACCAGCTTAGTAGAATACTTTGCATTACAGGTAGTGACTGGGAAAGGAAAAAAACACCACTTGTGTTAAGAAATTGGCATCAATAGTCTGTCAGGTTCTGGAAGAAGAGTGGTAAAGACTGGTAAGGAAAAGATAATTTTGCAGAACTTTGAGGAATAAAAAGTTCACATGCATCCAATTGAAAGATCATGACAAAAGTAACTGAAGTCTAAGAGAAGAAAAAACCTTAGGGGCTTAACTATGCAATTTCACTCAAAGAATTACAAGAAGCCAAAACATACTCAAAAATGAAGTACACAACAGAATGTTAAGTACAGTTTGGATTTAATAAATTTTGAAGTAAAGGGGAAAAAGTGATGCAATTGCTATTGGGTAGATTAAGTATCTGTAATTTCCACTTTGAAGCACATAACATGCTTGGGCAAATGGACTGTGTAGGTCTGTGAAAGCCATTTGAATCCTGGTTAAAATACTGCAATTAAAACAAAGACCACTGGAATGATGATCACAAGTTTCAGCATTATTTCTGGCTCATTCTCACTGAA